AATATTTATATAAATTTTTTTAGATAGACTAAATCTTCGTTTAGCAAAATGTAAATACATAATTCATTAAAATTTACGTTATAATTATAATTAATTATATGCCGTACAATTTAGTTTGTAAATGCGTAAGAATGATTAAATTCTCTAAATGCAATCTAGATGAAATGATCTTTTAAATGTCAAATGCAAAATAAATGCTATTTGATTCAGGATTAGTATAACATTTATTAAAGCCAGTGGAGAGAGGATTAAAGCAAAAGGGAAAATAGGAGATAGTATTTTAGACATTGTTGTGAACAATGACATCGATTTGGATGGTTACGGTATGAAAACACTTTTATTTCTACAAATTGTACTCTTTTATTCTTATCAATTATGCATTATTTTGATAAAGCATGAAGGAAAATCTTGAAAATATAGGTGCTTGCGAAGGAACATTGACATGCAGCACGTGTCATTTAATTTTTCCTAAGGATGTTTATGATAATCTTCCAAACAAACCTACAGATGAGGAAACGGATATGTTGGATTTGGCATATGAATTAACAGATACGTACGTTTTAAAAATTTGAATCAACTCTTTCTCTTTTTCTCTTGTTGAGAAATATCTTTTATGCTGATAAAAGACTATAAACAGGAGAAAACACTCCCCAAATTTTACATTATAATGCCTACTACATTTATTCATGAATTAGCTTCCTGCATCTAATACATTTCCTATGTCATACGTTCCTAAGGGAATAAAATTTGCCTTTAGCAGAAACATATCAAAGTCAAACTTCCTTTTGTTTGTTATTCAAATCAAACGTTTCAGTTTCTTTTTTCTGATTTCATTATACAACTTCTCCTTAAGAATTGTTGTAAATTTTATTTCACTCAATTTATTCTTTATCACTATTTATTTTGAAAACATTGTTATTTATTGTAATTTCGAAATATATTCAATTACAGATCAAGATTGGGATGCCAAATCATAATGACTGAAGAATTAGATGGTATTGAGGTGAGAGTACCATCTACCATTAATGATGTAAGGAGTTCTTAATAGACATGGTAATGCCGGTAAGGCATCAAATTGGGGCTTCATACTTAATAAAATTTAATCTGATAAGATTCCCTCCAAAGTAATAGCAAAGTTTCATATTATGTATATAGCGATAAAAAATTGTGTCCAAACTATCATAAATTCTCCTTTTGTAATATTTTTCTCAACAAATTGTATATATTATAATCAAATAATATGTACGTTTAATTGTACAAATATTTCGTGCAAAAAAGTGTATAATATCGTGTTCTTATTAGATCTATTCTCAAACGGAAAAAAAAAACCAGTAATATGTATATATAAATTTTATAGCATTTTTTAAAATAAAAAAAACTTACTCTCCGTTTTATTTAGTATGATGGTAATTTAGAAATCGACTATGAATTTTTTCTACTAATTTGGTCCTTGAGAATCAAATACCTTCCGAACTTGCAAAATATTATCATTGTTTGATGTAAGCAAACAATTTTACATTGTCTTGTATTATATTATAACATGAGCAAACAGAAAAAAATTTAATATTTACATTATGATTAAAAATAATCTATTTATAGCTTACGCAGTATATATTCAGAATAATTTATTTTTTCTTTTTTAATTAATTACACATAGCAAGTACATCTACTGTTATTACATAACTATCAGTACATAAAGCTAAAACACTTTTGTACTATGTGTATTATATATGGACCCAACACGAATAACTTACTCGCATGATTAAGTTACACACTATTACTTGCAAATGCATTATTACTACACTACTTACAAATGCGGTGAAACAATTTACATATTTTCAGTTTCTTACCCTGCCCGTTTCAAATACACATCTCTAGAATATATCTCGTATATATTCTTTCCTTTATGTACATATATATTTAGCCCGCCATTCTCAGTTTACTTGAATGTCATGCAAATAAAAGTTTATTAATATTCTCGTCTCGAGGATGCGTTTTTAATTCGATTCATAAGTTAGATATAAACTGCGAATATTAACGAATTTTTCAAATCGATCGATTCGATAATTATCCAATCAAATGTACAAAACGTACAAAAAAAATTAAGATGTATAATACAGTATAACAATTACGTAAAATAATTATAAAGCACATTTTCGGATCTTAAATGTTGATAATAATATCGTGATCAAATTTTCAAACTTGCACAATATGTAATACATAATAGAAGTTCCATTTTCCTTTAAATTGACATTTTATATAATCATTTTTTTTATGTTCGCGAGTGCAAAATTCGCTAATTTTTTAGCGCAATCATATACTTTTAAAATTTTATCTTTCTATATTTGTCTTCTTTTTTTATATATTGTATTTTTGCATGATATCTATATCCACAATAGTTTCGTAGAACGTAATTCCTCGAATATGGAACTATGTAAGAGAGTATGTTATGTCACATCTATGGATTATTGAACATATTTACGTAAATCATTACTATACTGTTCATATTATGGTTCAGTGCAACATACCGTAAATGATGAATCTCTTTCTCTCTACTTTCTCTTTTTTTTTCAATTGTACAGGAAATTACATTGCGATTACTATAAATATCGCAAATGTATGTATATACATATATCGCAAAGTATGAAGATTTATACAAACTGAAAATAAACATTATAATATATTTTCCAAATTTATACAAAGATACTGTTGTATATTCAAATTATCTCAAATATTACTTTTATTATATCTGAAGAAAGGTTTTTTTATACCATAAATTATGAAATATAATATCTTTTATGCTTAATACTAAAATTTGATGCGAAATACCACATCTCGTTTCAGCAATCAAAGTGAAAATTGAACTCTTGCGGTAAAGACGGAAGCTCTCACATTATTTCTTTCTTTCCTTCGGATACGCGCGTGCACACACATAACATATACTCAGGTATTTTATTATTATTTATAAGTAGCAAATACGACTTTTTTTTCAACAAACTCTTCACACGATCACGCATATTAATAATATAAAATTATAAACCTAATTTTTTTTAATGCGCTTTTAAAATATAAATTTATAGCAGCTTTATAGTTCGAAACTTTCAAGTATTAAAATCGTGCTGACAAAGGGGACGTAATATTTGATTCATAAGTTATTTAACATATCCAAAGACTAAGAAATTAATTCGGGTAATTAATTTCGGTAATTATTTTGTTGCATACTGATGGTAGATTAATAAAGTTGCAGGATTTGTGACATTTAAGGCCTATTGATACGTGTTTTTCTTATTATGATTCTTCATTTCTTTCGCTTTTGATATGCTACTTATTGCGTATTTTATTTTAATTAACTTTTCTTTTATTCTTTACACCACACACACACACCCACACACATATACAATTTTCTTTTCTTAAAAAGTATAATTTCGCGGAAACATAAAAACTCAATTCCACCACTATATCGAATTCGCAAATTTCAAGCATCTTATTAACCGCGTAATTATAATGTTAATCAGAATTCTAAAGTCTTATGCTTCCGTGTGAACGAAAGTAATCTAGGACTAGAGGTTCTGTAAGATAAGTACAAATAATAATAATAAAAAGTAAAAACATGGCAAGATTCACATACATGCCAATTTCTCGTCTTCGGGATTTCTAACGTATGTATACATTATTGTATATATATTGAAATATATTTCAATCATTGTACTTTGTTATATTTGTTCTCTATTCGGGATAATCGGGGTTTCTCGGCGATCGTCGAAATGTAATTATTTCATGTGGTTTTAGTGAATCATTTTTAGTATAAATTATATTATCTTAATAAAAAATATAGACATACGCGCGCGCGTGAATAAAACCGGTATACTTTCGTATATTTATCATATAAATTTGAAACATGAAAAAAGAATCCCTTTTTTGTAAAGGTGTGTATATTCCAATGAATGAAATCTGTTTGCCAAAATTTTATTATAACTTTATATTCTCGATATGGGAAACTGCACGAATTTCATTTCCGGTTATCTGATATATATTACGAGAATGATATCAGGTAACCAGAAAATACTTACGACGCACAAATGCAACATGCATTCGGTGTAAGGAATTTTTTCGTCAACGTTGCGCAACAGGTTACAGGAACCTGTTGCCGCTCTCGCTGCTGATAGCGGGATATACGAGCCGTAAAGAAAGCATAAATCGGCAAGTTTCGTCCGGCGAAAGGATCCTCGCGTCACATCGACGCGGCGTGGAATTTCTCCGTGAATATACATATATGTATATATACGGTTCCTTCGAACGCGTTGATAAATAGTTAAGCACAGGCGAAACCTGCTCAAGAATATTGTAGCGGTATGCAAAAAAATGTATAGCTCGTCAAGGTCAACAGGAACTAACACTATCGGCAAGTCATTATATCATGTTAGTTACAATACTAGCAGGATTAAGACAGTTTGGACATTCTGACTATGTGAGAGAATTATGTACCGGTGGGAAGAAACAAAAAAATTGATGTGAGTAATACTGGTATAACGACCCGGGCTATAAAGATGGTTGAGAGTATAGGTTCCAAGGCCGTTGGTAATTGCCGGAACAATATGGATGTTAGACGAAGACACGACTGATGAAATTTTGCTCGATAAATTCGACAGAAATTCTTTCAGATATTTTCGTTAAAATTCGATTAAAAACAGAAATTACATCAGTAATATTAATATGTAAAATCAATGAAAAAAAAAAAACAAAAATGCATTATATCGAAAAAATTAGTTAAACCGACAAAATATCAGCCTTGTATTTCGTGCTTTTATTCAGGTGATCAATAAAGTATACGGGAGAATTCAGTCAACTGGCATTTTTGCTTTCGGCGTTTCGTGTTGCACGCGTTACGAAGGGCGCGAAACTCTTCCCTTTCTCAGTCCCTTAATTTTCGCACTCACGCCACTTATAACGTTACGTATAGTTACGTTTAAGCTCGGGACTAAGTCTGCCAAACGCACGAACCCCAAAAATAAATTGCCGGCAACAAGACTCTGAGCGGTATTCTTCCGGCGGTCGCTGGTCGAAGATTCGTGGATAATATATACACGGTGGGCAAAAAGTTTCGAGGATTTATCATCATCAAGCAGACCTAAGATAATTCGATGGGCCTAAGCAGTATTTAGAGATGTATATCCTTGTAACAAAATAAAAACACTAATCGACATTGACGATGACGGCACCATAATGTCATAATATGCCGGTAACATTGATGACGCGATAATAAAATAAACAGTGACAGTCTTAGTCAGCAATTTTTGGTCCCTTCTTGCTAGACAACATCAATTCTATCTATACATAATTAGGCATTTAGCGTCACGATTGTTCGATTCTTAAGGTGCAGATTTATATAAAACGGTTTAGGCATAAATCCTTCCATTTATGACCGATATATTAAGATTAATAAAGTCTCATACAGATTTTTCCCATCCTTCGATATTTTTTAAGCCTAAATCTATCTAAAATGAGTTGAGGAGTTTATTTCCAAACAAATTTAAAAATCCGTTTTTTACAAATGACGTTTCAGCTTAGGAGATAATCCCTTCGATCGATCAAAGAATACTCCCTTCGAATAAATTCGTGGATCTTTTGACTTTTGGAGTTATTTTAACACTCCATCAAGATCTTTAGACGAGAGTCGACAATTCGTGCGGGCTGTTTGTAGTGGCGGCGCTGCTGAGATCGAGCGTGGCCGCCGGCAAGCCGGGGCTGATACTGCCGCTTGCCTCGCGCGGCAGATGCTGCGACCTGTTGAGTTTGCCGCTGCTGCCGACGCCGCTAGGGCTCGGCGGCGATCGGTCGCCGGGCGTCGTCGGTGGCGTGGCAGCGGCAGCGGCCGCCACGGCACCACGGTGCGTCAGGTGATTATGCTGCGACGCGGGATGAGGTGACGATAATAATAACGGCGGCGACATGGAGGACACGTGCCGCTGCTGATGAGGATGGTGCTGATGAGAATGATGCTGGTAAGAATGCTGGAGACCGCGAGGCGATTGGGCCAGTAGGCTAGTGGTCGAATGAACCGTCATCGAGCCGCCACCGATTTTCGAACTCGTGTGCAGCGTCGGTCGTAACTGCGACTGCTGATGTTGATGGTGATGATGATGCTGCTGCTGCTGCTGGTGATGATGTTGATGCTGTTGTTGGTGCTGCGAGTGCGCCTGTTGATAGGGTTGTTGCTGCTGCTGTTGACGTTGTAGCTGCGCTGCGGCCTCGCACTGCTCGCGGGCGAACGCCTTCACCGCATTCGTCTTCTCCTGTGGATCACACGAAAAGAAAGATTATCCAGTGAACTGTTGCGTGTTTCTTCTTCCTCGATGAGGTTTATCGAGGGGGACAGTTAGGGAGGCGTGATATCAGGAAAGATTCCCCGAAACACATGTACGCGCGGAATTTAATCTGCTTATCATCTTTTTTTAATTGTTATCTATCTACTTTAAAGTAGATAGATTTTAAAGCGAAATTTTATTTGCTATTCTCTCTCGAGATTAAATCATTATTAAATTTCTAGACATTAAAAATCTAGACATAATTATACTTTGGCGAATATACGTAATGGTTGATTTAGCAACTGCAATTGATGGAAGAATTGAAGGAAAGAGAAGGTTGAAAACAAGACTTTAATTCCAGAGCCTTTATAAATTTAATTAAGAGAAAGTGGAGTTATTTTTATATCAAGACTGATGTATATTTCAGTGAATAAACGGATGCTAATGTTTACAAAGCGCGACCCAGCAGGAGAGTCTGAATCACGCATGTTTGTGGAATTCGCGCAAACTCGAGGTGCGTGAACGAGTGCGTGCGCGTGACAGGAATTAGGAGGTCAGTGTCATTGGCGCTCGAAATGTCTGACGCAACATCGGACACGATACATGTACGCGCACATACCAAGATAATGAAATAAAAATATTTTCATCTTTTTCAAGCTATTTCTTAATTCCTTCGAAACGATTTTTGCCAAAATATCGAGACAATTATCGAAACTTTTTTAAAAATATATCAGGAACCTTAAAACTCCTCGAGAAAGAGGAACTCGATTATATCAAAATTTTGGAAACGCATAATTTCGTATTTAAATATGATATTTATCTGATTTTAAATACATAAATTCTGCTTTTTCCTTCAAATTTTATTTTGTCAAAATGAGACAAAAAAAATAACAGCAACGATACTAAATCGTAAATATGTTATGAAGACCTTTATCGCGCACTGTCGAAAGCATTACGGAAGAAGGTAAAAAAAAAAAAAAAAAAAAAAAAAATCATCTCTCCATCGTGCAATTTATGTAACGGCAAAGTATCGGCGAAGTTTATCACACGGGGAGACGCGACGATGGGAAGCCGTGACGAGTGCAGTTACATATAAAATCTTCCGCTTTATTACATAACGTATAAAGAGCGAGATGTCATCCCACAGGATCACACGAGCGTAAAATAGATATCCTGCTATCGGCCTTTTTCTTTTTTTACAGATCGAAAACTCGACGTTGAACACGTCGGTTTACACTCCATCGTCCACTTCGCGCACGCATACACGCACGCCACAACGTCCTGCGTACGGATCCAGTTTGGAATCGAATTACACGGTAGAATGATCACCGACGTAAATAATAGCGTGATAATGACATCGACCGTTGCGGGATATGCTAATAAGGCACGGCAGGGAGAGATTAAGGGTGTAGAGCCGATGGAGAAGGGGGAGGAGGAACGAGGGAGAGGGAGATGCAGGGCGATGCATCGCCGGTCGTGAAATACGAGAAAATAAAGAGAAGCGATCTGCGCTACGATGGAGATCCGTATATCGCGATGATCGAAAGAATTCGCACGCCGTTAAGTTGTCCTACAAGAGGAGGAGGAAGAGGAGGGCAAGGTAAAAGAAAAAAAAAAAAAATGTATTTTCAGGCTCACACTCACTTTCTGCCACACGAAGACGTTATGGACCATGGCGCATCCGCAAAACACGATGCCGAGGCCGATGAAGACCGACGTGACGATCGCCGGTGTCGAATGGAATTGGATGAATGTGTACAGAATCATGCCTGCGGATCACAACGTGTCGTGTACACAAGCGGGATTAATAAATCATGTGATGCCGATAACAATATACGAGACAAATAAATTTGTATCTCGATGCGTTTTCAGAATTTAATCTCTGAACATTCAAGTCTGTTTTATAACTCGTTATGTTTTATACTCGACAATATTTCTAAATTATATTATATAATTTTCACATGTATAAAATTCGACGAATAAAAGCCAAATTTGTTCTTACCGGTTAGGAAGACCGGAATGCTAATGAAAAAACCTCCGACGGCGCACACGCGGCTGATGGACGATTTTTGCAGGTACTTGTTACTCCTGAAACAAAGAAAAATCACAGAGTGTGAAAATGAATTTCGCGATTCCGCGATAATTGAATGAGTTATAAAAGAGCACGTCGTTCGTCGATTACTTCGTTAAATTCTAATTAAATTATTAATTAAATTAATCTCAGCGATTCTGATCATCGTTTGTGATAAAATATTAGGAAAAAGCGTTTGCGCTATTTCTAAAGGCAATCGTTTATGAATTTCCTAGTCACCTATATATACGAGAGCTGCAGTCGATTATTTTTTCATGAGAGTAGAGCTAGGGCTATATGGCTATAACGTTTCGTGATAGCGCAAGATAAAAATAGCATGCACACTGATCGATCGTTGCACTTATCAGTTGGCACAGAATATTGTTTAGAAAGAAGCCGTTAACCCGTCACCTACATTCAAGTTATATGTGCAAGCGTCGTTATACTTTATCAATCTTTGGCGCGTCTGCGATCTGTCTGCCAGTCGCTTTTTACTTATCTGGAAAAGTCCAGAATTTCAAGGACTTTCGATATCGAATATTGTATTAAACGTTAATAATAAAAAAACATTTTTTTTATTTACCTTGTGATATAATTAATTAACGAAAAAAATTTAATTTAAAGATATCTTTTATTTATTATATATTATTTTATATTATTATAAATTTATTATACATTTAAAATCTCAAGATTAAATTTGATTTTTATAATTAAATTATAATATATCTCGTGCGGCATCGCATCATTATTATTGTAAACGTATATACGTATCAATCTTTGTTATAATTTCAATTCTCACAACTGACTAGTGCACAATCTTCAACGGATCTGACCGTCGATACGCGATATCACGATCGCGATCATTCGCGAAGGGTGTCGGAAAGATGAGAGGCAAGGAATATATATGTATTAGTACCTCTTACAAAACTTTTTACTTTTTTTTTACCTTTCACGTATTTATAATATTACATATTATATATATATGTATATTTCCATTTTGTATTGGATGGGAAATTGATCAAGAACACTTTATGAGATTGTGATGCCGATAAAGAGAAATTTTATAATCACGAAAAAACCAACGAAAATTAATTGCCGTCTACGAAAGAATTTAATTAAAACAGGTTCTGTCTTTTCGGAACGAACTATTTATATCTCTATTAATGCGTAAATATTTTCGAGGAAGATACCAATCGTCCGGTCAGTTATCCGAAGAATTTCCGTCTCCGAAAATCTCCTTTGAAACTTTTAGGTTTTACAGCCGTCTTCATGGCACACGGAATCTCTCTAGATATAATCCAGAAATGAAAACCTTGTAAGAGAAGCTCGAAAGTGGAGACGGTAAGAGCCGAGTAACGTCGACGATGAAGAGGGATATATATATATATATATATATATATCAAATTTACCACACAGATTTTTATGATAAATATAGGGAAAACTGTATAATATAAATAGTTGCTGATAAAATATTATAGAAATTTACCGCGTGTCTTTTTAAGTTTGCAAATGTTAATTAATCCCGACTCGTCACGACGTATTCATTTAAAGCATTCTTTTAGCTTTTACGTTCACGCACTACGTCAGTGCGTGAATAAAGGATGTAGCGCTCAAAAAAAAAAAAAGTCATTAATCGCGTTTTATTGACCTGTAAGTTCTCTACTAACGGCAAAAAGACGCGATATCGCGGATGCGCGCGAGAGAAACAAGAGGAAGTTATCGTTACGTGCGTTCCTAGGCCCTTTTTGTTTTCCTTATTTAATCTCAAGGCGGTCATTAATGGCCATCTCCGCTTCTACCTGTTCTACGACTCTACTCGGAATTTTCTCGTCCTTTTTCCACTGCGGCAAAATGAGCTCTACGCACTCCATACGCGCGTCAGTTACATTCAATTGATAGTTTATACATCACCTTTTCGCGAATAAATTAATAAGAGAAATAGTAAAATCGAAAAGGATGAGTTGCCGAAAATCGAGGCTTTTTAATTGAATCGAACCGAGATTGTTTGAGTGTAAGATTAAATTGCAGAAGTCCTTCTAAAGTACATTTTCTTTCTTAGACACTGGATATGACAAAGATATAGATACTAATAATATATGCAAAAATGACAAATGACATGAAAATGTAGCACGAGAACTAATCAAATAATCTATTATAAAATTCCAAATAATATTTTTAATGTAAATTTTTAATAATAACTTTTTAATAATTGGTCGGAAAGATGAGAGGCAAGGAATATATATGTATTAGTACCTCTTACAAAAAAAAAAAAAGAGGCCGTAAGTCAGAAAATAACTTACTCTTTGGCAAATATTGCATAATCGCGAAAGTGCAGCGATACGATCGGCGCGCATATAACGGTACGTGATCCTTTACGGATAACCCACGTTCCTTTTCTTTTTTGTCTTCGTCGAAGGTATTGCGTTTAAGCGTATTCCCGTCAAAAGAGAGTCAAATGGATTTATGGTCCCGACGGAAACGCGAGTTAGGTAGGCGTTTTTGTGGCGCAACACTAATCTCTCATACGTCGGTGCCACACTACATTTAGGAGTGCCCTCGTCCCGTAATCATCTTAGGTTCTCCATAAATAAAACCTTTGCCACAATGCTCCTCTATAGTGGCGTGTGTGCGCGTAGTGATAAAGATTATTACTTAAGGGGGACCGCCTTGGCTCTCTCTCTCTCTCTCTCGGATTAGATTCACCGTATTAGGATCCATACTGTTTTCACGATAATGCCGCGCTCAGGCGAGATTCAAATGAATTATCCGTGAGCCGATTATTGAATGTGATTGAAATTTATGACGACAGGAGTCTTAATGAAATCCCGTAACGTTATTTGAAATGTAAAATAGACGCGGGAGAAGAAAAAATATGATTAAAAATTATTTCTACGAAATTTCTTACGTCAACTTAGAATGTTATTGTACAAATGTTACACACATATAAAGTAGCTACATTTATCTATTCCTTTCGAGAGATTTAATACAGAGAAAAAAGATGTCAAATATAATTGAAATCATCTTCATCGCACACCAATTATGACTCCGAAAATTTATCGAACAACGCGCTCGCGCGCAATAACTTACTTCCAGAAATAAGCTACCGCTATTAGAAATCTCGAACAATAGTAGTTCTAATCGCTTCGCATGACCCGCTCGTATATCTAAAGAGATCGTTGACCCTGAAGGGCGGTAGCAACGCCTGCGTGGGAATTCCTCATTGCACCTGATAGATGATGCTCATTTAAAAGCGGCACGCAGACGAAGATTCGTAAGTTTTTGCAAAGAGACGTGTCTCGATATAGGGAGAGATGTTCGGCGATTTTACATCTTGTCCTATACGCGTGAGAGAAATTACAACAAAATTGATATGAGAAATACTTTATGGTGTATTATTAATGTATGTAAATTATTTAATATTTTATATATATATATATATATATATATAATTTATGATCAGTATTTTTCTTATCATTTTATTATTCTCAATTGTTTTCTAATCTCTTTTTATTGATTCGCTATCTCGTAACGTAATATTCGGTTATATCGGGATTAACGATCGAATTCTCGGTTTCTATCTATTTTTCTTTCTTAGACACTGAGATATGACAAAGATATAGATACTAATAATATATGCAAAAATGACAAATGACATGAAAATGTAGCACGAGAACTAATCAAATAATCTATTATAAAATTCCAAATAATATTTTTAATGTAAATTTTTAATAATAACTTTTTAATAATTGTCACACTTACATTCGTAAAATAAAATATTCATCAATATCAATATTTTTCTAAAAACTACATAAAACTCGAATTGTCATCGTCTAAAATTTCCTATGCCCCACGTCATATTCTTATTGTTATTTCTCTTTTCTGCAAAAAGTCATCCACTGTTCTTAAGCAGTCTACAGTTACACCGACATTGTGCCCCGGAAAAAAGAGGTCACGCTTCGGGAGATCCCCGAAAGCGATCGCATCAACGCGTTTCTTTAACGAGGGTAATTTCGGAGAATCGCGACATCGCGATCTATCTGCGTCTCGCTCCGATTCTCTCCTACTCGTGTTCTCGATCCGTGCGTGTACACGCTTACACGCGCGTAATGCGAATTTTTGCGCCTCTCTCCGTGAGAAG